AGGGCCTTTAAGGTGCACGCGTATGAAATGTGTTAACATGAGCTTGTGTGTGTGCCGAGCACAAAGCCAAGCCATATTCCCTGGCAGGACGGCCTGTTCCTGGATCTCTCCATTCGTCCCCACCCTTGGCCCAGGTTTACCAGGGCTTTTCTCTCTCTCTCCCACCAAAGAAGCATCTGGGAACGGTTACCTCTTGGCAGAGACCAAGAAGGACGAAGGGAAGGGGATGAGTAGCCTGTAGGAGGTGCTGTTGCACACATAGAGCTTTCGGTGTACACAAAAAGAACCGCACAGCACCTCACACACAAATTCTTGCCTAGGAATTCCCAGTGCCGTTAGTCATTCACAAAGAGGCAGGGTAGAATGAAAGGGGTAGAATAATAGGGATCACTATTCATCAGTTTGGTGGGTTCGCAGGCTTCCCGCCAGGCAGATTTCTTTTCAAGACAAAAGAAGGGGGGGGGGGAGCCCTGTAAAACCAAAACCTTTCCCTCTTTGTTATAAGAATCATCAGTCTTCCAAAAATCGTCTGAAAATGCGGATTCATGTGCACATCTTTCCACCTTCACACCATTACAGATTCCCACATGCAGAGTCTCACCTTGTGACACTTCTCCATGGCCTGCCATTCTCCCTTTCCTCCCCCCCCCCCCCCCACAAAAAAAACAACTGAGCAGATTCCTCAGTACATTCATCACAAGCCAGTGATTTTCTGTCAGGACCAGAGGCTGCTGGGCTTATCTAGTTCCTACCTGTGATAACTGGGGGGCCTAAAGCCACCTCCCCTCACCCTAGTGGGCTTGATAACGCCATGCCTTTATCTTATCTGAACTCCAGTGGCAGCCACAGATTAATGAGACGGGGGGGGGGGTTCCCCCCTCCGGTACTGCTGGCAATGACAAGGCTGGGTCTACTCAGAGTATATGTCCACACAAAAGTTAAGCATGGAATGAAAGATGTGCATGGAGGAATGGTACATGATAGCATGCAGGTGATGGAACATGCAGATATTCAGCAACAGTGACATTTGCTAAGTGGCTTCATGAATAAATCCACTTCATTGATTCTTCAAAAAGAACGCCACAAATATTGTTCAGTGATAAAGGAGAGTTGTATAAGCCTTCGAGTGTTATCTGGAATATTGAGTGGTGTAGTATCTGCATACCCAGGAAGGGCTGGGTCCAGAAACACCTGCTTTCTTTGTTCATAATTCCTGATCCAGTGGGGAGGACCTGAATGTTGTGTCAAAGCTGCTTTCTTTTAAAGTGAGAATTTCTGCCTGGTCTCCAGTAACTGAAAGACACTCTTTCTTGCTCTTCCATGAGATTAGTGGCTGTTCTGCAGAGCTCCCAATCACTTAGACAATAAAAGGTGATAATCCTGGGGATTAATTTAAAATAGTGTGTTGGATGCCACCAAATTGTCTATTTTTAACAATTATAAAAAATGAAAGGTGTTTAGTTTAGTTTTATTATTATGGTCTTAAGACCAGCATACAGTATAATAAATGAAAGGTATACTTCCATTCCGTACACAGAAGAGAGTCTGTTTCAAATTTGTATATTTCAGTGATGAGACAGTACTGCAGTTCTGTGAATGGATTTGCTGGATTCTGTTTTATCACTAGCTGTGCTTTGTTTTCCATGGTAATTCTATGTTGCCGTGTTTGCTGCTTAACTCCTCTCACGAAAGCTATGGAGATTGAACATTATTGTTATGATATCGATTGAGGAAGCGTAAATAACCTAAAGGGAACAATATCAACACTTTCATTAGGCCCAACTAAAAAGTCACAGCAAGGTGAGAAGCTTTCAGGTTCATCCCACCAGAACGAAGCTTTGCTGAATTTTTCAAGTCCCCTGAGTCAGTTTCAGGACCGAGCAGTGCCTTGAAACTCATAATGTGAGCATGGATGCAGTTCTCTTCCCATAGCTGGTGCGCCACCGCCTTTCCCAGTTATCCAGCACCCCCTCCCCACAGGGCAAAGATCGGAGCAAGAAGCAATGACTAATTAGTCCTCAAGAGTTGCCGTTACCACCACCCACCACCCCATTTCCCAGCAGCCAGTCATCACAAGGGCTGGGTCACTGATAGCTGGAGAAAAATCACTTTCTAATGGATCTGAGGAGGGGTGCCCCATTCAGCCAAGCCTGTTTCCAAGGAGGCAAAGGCATGTAGGTTTTTCTGTAGCCTCCAAGAGCATTGGGCCTGGTCAGTGACAGTCTCTTCTCCCTCATGAGTGCATCTGTGTCTTCCCAGTGGAGGAGCATTTTGGTTTCTCTTAACTCTCCATTCCAGTGATTGGGTGATGCTATATTTAAACACAGCAGCTTCAAAGAACAATTGTATTAGAAGGAGGTCTCAGAACTGAAATCCATTAAGAAATTTGGTTGCAGATGTATTCATCTGTAGCAGCAACAATAGGAATGGGTTGTGGTTGGTGAATTGCTTACTGTAGCATGAGATTTTGAAGGCAGAGATGTTTCTGTATGTGCATTAAGTGACTAGCCAGAGTCCAATGCAAACCCCTAAATTTCAGTAGACTTATTTAAGCATACTAAACCTCCTTGGCTTTAATTGTGGCCACCATTTTTCAGGGTTTGAAAAGAGGTTGGGGATCATTCTTGCCATATAAAATGTAAGCGCTGTCCCTTTCGACTGTGTACTATAGGAATTAATGTTTAGTGTTCCTGTAATTGACATGTGTTTTATGATGGCTGCTTTCTTTTCCTGGCCCCTGTTCCTGTGCATTTAAACACCAGATTGATAGACAGGTGCCAGTGCTTATCTCTGTTCTGTAAATCTTCAGCTGCTGATTAACTGGAAGATGAAACAGAAACTTCACTAGGTCCAGAACACCAGTCATTGCAGTCATTGTCTTGGGCATATTAGACCAGTTCTATGAGATCTCCAGTAGTAAAATTGCCCCAGTGACCCATCAACAGTTCTAGTCCACCAGTTACATTTATGTCTGCATGTAAGATCCCACACACTGATTTAAATAGATTCACTGGTTGTAAGCATATGGAAGAAATTTTAAAAGGACATGTTTGGAGCCAGAAATGCCCTAGGGCAGATGCACTGCAGTCATGGTATCCTCAAAATCCTTAGCTGTACATGTTAAGGAGGCTTCTCTGTGGATGTGGAAGTCACTAAAGATCATAAGTCGAATGGCCCTCATCACTGTCCCTGAGACCACCTCTGTCTGCTTAGTCAGGAAGTATGTTGGGCAGTGGGGCAGTCAGGACAACAGCAGAATCCTTGATCTCTCCTGAGTACCCTACAGCAAGTATAAACTGTTTGCATAAAATGTACCTTGGATGGGGCACATTGTCCTCAACATGCACTGTTCACACTTGGACAGTTTCCAGTAAACCAATACTCAGTTTCATACCACCAGTTTGAAATCACCGATAGGATGGATATTGTCAGATTCTGAGGCCTTCGCTCTGTTCCAATTCTCACTCTTCTTGCCATGTTGTGACCCCAACCCCCACTGATTATTAAGTTCCAAGCATCTTCATTGGTATCCATCATGGCCCTTTCAATTTCCTGTTCCCAATTCTCAGGCTCTGCTTGCCAGCTAAAATCATCTCCTCTTGCCCAAGGGGTCCATCTGACTGCTCAATAGCCCCCAGGCTGAAGAGGCTGCTTCCTTCGCCTATAAAGCAAACCTGAAATCTTAATCAGTTCTACCCTGATCTTTCCAGACTGAGCACCAGAATCCTCCTGGTGCCATTCCCTCCACGGCCTGCATATTGGGCTCCAGCCTTTTCTAGACCCTTAGGTCTAGGCTGGGGCAGATTATCTCAAGCAGAATCTCAGTGCTCCCAGCCAACTTTACCAACTTTGCTCCAAAAACCCAATGGAGCTTTAAAAAGATCCAGATATTAACCAGCTGCTCTCATCTTTCTGCACTGAGCAATTTTTATATCTACTTCAAGGTCCCCTCATCAGGAAACCAGAATGCAATCGTGCTATGAGCTGAAACATTCACCCAAGGAGCTCAGATTGTAACAACTTTGCCTCTGCAAGCTCGAAGCTCTCTTTCTGACATTTGTCCAACTCAAGCAATATTTGCGAAAAGAACTGTTGCCTCCCCACCATTCATTTGTAATCTGTGCGTCATAAATCAAGAATCCATACACAATTGTTTCAATATTTAACTAGCGAGTTAGACATTCACTGCACATCACAGAGCCCACTGAATGCAGTTGACAGGTTTTGCAAATGTGTTTCACCCCGGCCACAGACATTTTGACACCTGAAGCCTCCCTGCCCCCAAATTAAAATCAAGTACATATGCTGCACTGGAATGGAGCTCATAGTAATGGCACCTCAGAGATGGAGCCTGTGCCGTTTCCTTGCCTTCTTTACTGAAATCTGCAGTCCAGATCTGTGATCCAAAGCTATCCATGGCATGTCTGCATGGATGTACCTGCTGCATGCATATGTGCCTGTTTGTGCGTACATGCACTTATATGCGTGTGCATGCAAGGGATGGAGGAAAGCTAGTAAGAGTAAGACGGTATTGGGGCAAATAAGCAGAAAGCAGAAAGAAAAAACAGAAAGGGAGGAGGGGAAGGAGGAATGAGAAGGCTGGAGGAACGGCCCAGAGTGGGAGGTGGGGACAACCTCATGGCTGGCTCCCAAGTCAGCCATGGGAGGGGGGAGTGTGCCTGGTGAAGATTGGCTGCTGTCTCTCCCTGAGGGGCTGCTCTAGAAGGGGTGGTGCTAAACAGCCCAGAGCAGAGACTTTGGCTTAATCTAGCTGCAGCTTTCTTCATCCCTCCAATAGGGACAGTTATTAATGCATAGCCTAGGGGAGAACAGATCTGCTTTCATAGGAACAGACAGACTGGTTCTGAGAGGCAGGTGTTGGCTACTTGGCTTGGATAGGGTCCAGGCATTGCCCATGCGACTGGGCTCCCATCGGCATCCAGTGGCAACCTAGTCTCACGTGCCTTCTGGTGAAGAATTAAGGGGAGTGTCTGTGAGCCATGATGTCACTCTGCCAGTGGAATGCCCTGGGCACAGTGCTGCTAATTCTGATGCTGGACTGGGCACTGACCACAAGTCAGGAGTATGACTACTACAGCTGGCAGTCGGACAACTTCCAGCATGGACGCTTCTATACCAAGCAGCCACAGTGTGTGGACATCCCAGCTGACCTGCAGCTCTGCCACAATGTGGGCTACAAGCGCATGCGCCTACCTAACCTGCTAGATCATGAGTCTATGCCTGAGGTCAAGCAGCAAGCCAGCAGCTGGGTGCCCTTGCTGGCCAAGCGGTGCCATTCAGACACACAAGTGTTCCTGTGTTCTCTCTTTGCACCTGTCTGCCTGGACCGGCCCATCTATCCATGCCGCTCTCTTTGTGAAGTAGTGCGTGACTCGTGTGCACCTGTTATGGAATCCTATGGCTTCCCCTGGCCTGACATGCTCAGCTGCAACAAATTCCCCTTTGACAACGACCTGTGCATCACTGTACAGTTTGGAAACAGCCAGGCTACTCAACCACCAGGTAACTGCATGGGAAGGGAGGGGGAAAGCCTGAGTTAAAGACTGTCCCCTAGGTAATACCATTCCTATAGCCGTCGGTAACCTACACTTATCCTTCCCACTACACTTTGGTTCCTACAGCCAGAATCTTGCACATCTTTCAGACTAGGCTGTCTTTCCCCCTCTTGGCTTTACTGGCATTGAAAAATGCAGAAATGCTTTCCAGGCTATCCAGGACATAGTTCAGACTTTTTAATAGCATGAAGGATGGTGTGAGGATAGGCGAAACAAGATGGGGGAGGAGGTCAGGCCTGGAGGTTTAATTCCATGTTTGCTGCTTATCTGAGCCCATTCCTGATATGGAAGCAGCAAGTAGCTTCCCATCGCTGCTGAGATAGCACTAGGCCATTTGTATTGAGATTTACAGCGAGGCATTGTATTCAAGACCTCAAGAAGTTCCATTGTCCAAGCCTCATCATAGTTTCCCACATTTCATTGTAATGGAATTGTACATTACAACTATCTGTCCAGCCTGATAGTGTGATTTATTCTTTCTGGAGACTTGTAAGCTGCTGCACTATTTTAGGAGCAAGCTGTTTGAAAAATTCCCTTTTCCTGTCTCCATAAAGAGGTCCATCCCTTAGGCTTTACATAGCACTGGCGACCTGTATCAATAGAACTGTTGCTCTGAGAATTTCTCCAGTACCTGCTCCTCTGCAAGCATCGTCTTCTCCCCCACCACCGCCAAGGTCCCAGTGCAAGCTCAATGAATCAGGCATCCAGCCCTCAGGACCTCTGAGGCAGGTTCTAGCCTCCAAACAGAAACCCCGACTAAAAAATCAGTTTGGGGAGTTGGAGACAGGCTACTGAATTTTAAAAAATAAGTGCAGGCAGCCTGTATTAAACAGACTCTTATCGTTTATGTCGCAGTTCTTTAAAGTCATTAACAGCATTTTGGCATATCAACCAGTAGGAGGCAGTGTTCAACCTACCAGAGTAGTAAAGGACATTCAAAGAGATGCCAGGCACACTGGGGAAGTTTGAAACAGAAGCCAGAACTCCTGAACTTCAGTACGTCTTCTATAGTGATAATGAATCAGTACACTCAGTGAATTGGGGTCTGTCATTACTTCTCATTATAGTCTCTGGGGATCTTGTTAGGGGCATAGTGGGAGAAATCCCTCCAATTTTCTTAAGCTGGGCACCATTTTCCATGCAAGCTTCTCTTAAATTGAACCCCTTAATAATGTCAGCTGAGATGATTTATTAATTTGCTTCCCAAACAGTAGGAAATTTGGGACAGCCTTTGCAGGATCCATTTTCTTAGAACAATGAGCACCTGAGATTTGTATGTGTAAATCTGCTCATTTAGGAAATTACTGGCAGCACAGATACCACCAGTAAACGTAGGCCTTGGAACTGAGAGTCTAGCAAGCTTTAAAGTCACTATCAATTTTCACCCAGCCTCCATTTTCAGTGTCACACAATCAGTTCATAAATTGCCCTCAGTATGATTTCTAGGAAAGCCCCAGCACCTCAGGCCTCAAAGTACAGAACAGGTTTGGTGGAGGAGGGGACATCTGTCAAAGGAATATGAGGTACCGAAGAGGCAGAAGAGCTTGAGGCAGGTGGATTATTCCCCATCAACTGAAAACTTGGTGGGTCCTTGCAGAGGACCCTCACTAATTCACTCTGCATGATGACTGCAATCCCTTTGATGTATTGTCCTTGGGAACAGCTGACATTTATTCTAATTGCATTTCTTTGACCTTATGTTTAAGAGGGGGTCTTCACTATTGCCAAGGTTGGATCAGTGACCCAACCCATTTCCCCTCCAGTAACCAGCTGCATGCACATAACCCCAAGGATAGGGTTTCTACGTGCTCACTGGTGGAGTAGACGGCTTGGGGGGGGGGGGGTAGGTGTTATAAGGTAAGGTGCCAACAAGGGCGTTTAAAAGGTTAAAGAATAGATATCCTCCTGCAACAGTCAACATCCACTTCGTACCCCAGAACCATCTTTGATCCAAACCTGCAGTGACAAACTAATTTATAATTTCTTACAGGACACACAAATCCTTTTCCTTCTCCCTCTCTCTAGGATAACAAAAGGTGAAGAGTGGGTCAGAATACTTCTGCCTTTAAAATTGTTATATTAGAGGGAATTTAAGCAGGGTCCACTTGACATACAGGTATGAGAGAAGCTAGACCTGCTGAAATGTCCTTTTCTAAACCATTATAGATGCAGGAACTCCATCTTATTTTGTACCTGCCTCCCATCCTGGATTTCCTTCTTTATTTTTCTCCTACTCACCTTTTCTCTCCATCTCCTCCAAAGAAAAATGTGGTGATACCTCCGTTGCAATCCACTTTGAATCATGATGTGTACCTAGCTGAGTCTCCATCTGAAGCTCTAAAGCTTCCTGAGGACCACTTAATCAACCAAGATGACGAATCTGCCCTTGTATTAGATTCTGTTTGTCCAGGTCCTTCACTGGCAGGTTTGCTTTCAAACCAGAGAGAAGCACATCTTAATATTCAGCTTAACTCTCCCTTTACCATAGGTTAAGGTTTCCCTTGCTTGAATGCCAGTCAAATCCGAGTCTAGGGGGCGGTGCTCATCTCAGTTTCCAAGCCGAAGAGCCAGCACTGTCCAAATACATCACCTTTTTTAACCAAGGAAAATTAAATAGAAATTTATTTAACTGGTGCAAGGATAAAGAACTGTGTAAAATGAAACACTGATGTGGCTGAAGCATAGATATTGATCTGTTAATTGTAGATGGCAGTGCCATGGTCAAATCATTTTGCCCTGAAGGCTTGGCTGAGGGTCCCAGCCCCCTCTTGTCTGGGCGACGAGCATATTTTTGCTTGCCCACAGAGACTAATGGACCCAATTGGGTTCCAGGATGCTCTGCAGGATCTGATACTCCCCTCACACCCGAATCATTAGATGAGCTGATAGAGGACTGGAATACATGTCTTTGAAGTCATCAATGAAATCACCCCCTGATGTCCTCTACACTCCCGACCTAAGTTAGCTCCATGGTACACTATGGAGCTTAGAGGGACGAAACAGAAGCTTAGAAGACTAGAGCGAGTGGAGATGGTCTCATGATGAACCTTCAAGAGCATCTTATAGGATGGTTATGGAAACCTATGAGGTGGTGGTGAAGGCTGCTAAGAGATAATTCTATGCAGCCTCTATCACATCCACTAGCTCTCACCAAGCACAATTGTTTAGGAAAATTAGATCTTTAATTTCTCTTACAGAGATCCAAAACAGATAGTAATTTGACCATAAGCTGTGAGGCATTTGCAAGCTTTTTTTGTGGATAAAGTCTTGTTGCTCCTCCACGACTCGCCGGCAAACTTTGATACGGTATGTGAACTAGAAGCCCCTTGGCCATCTATGGATCCAGTATCTGACAAGTTCAACTGACTTTTGGAGGCCAATGTTGACAGGATTCTTGGTGCTGCCAAGCCAACCACTTGCCTCTTAGACACGTGTCCTTCATGGCTGGTGCAAGCTGGCAGTGAGGGTATACAGGGCCCTGTGATGGACATTATCAATCCCTCAGTTCAGTGGTCTATGCAGTGGGATTAAGAGAGGCAGTGGTAACACCACTCTTGAAAAAGCCATCACTGGATCCTTCCGATCCATCCAATTACTGCCCAGTTTCAAACCTTTTGTTTATGGGCAAGGTAATCGAGAGAGCGGCAGTGGGGCAGCTCCAGAGTTTCCTGGAGGAGACATCAGCACTAGATCCATTCGAATCCAGTTTCCACCCTAGTCATGGGATGGAGACTCTGCTTGTCACCCTCATGGATGATCTCCGCAGGCAGTAGGATCAAGGCAGGCCAGTGCTGCTGTTATTGCTTAACTTGACAGCAGTGTTTGACACAGTCGATCAAGATCTGCTGGCTCACTGCCTTGCCAATGTTGGAAAATGTGGGAAAGCCCTGAAGTGAGTTGTTTCCTTTCTCCATGGTCAGGGACAGAGGGTGGCACTAGGAGAGAGGGTTTCACCCTGATACCTATGGTATGTGGGGTCCCTTAGGGGGCTATCCTCTCTCCAATGTTATTAAACATCTACATGTGCCCTGCTGCCCAGCTGGTGCGGAGTTTCAGGCTAGGGTGCCATCAGTATGCTCATGGCACCCAGCTGTATTTGCTGATGGAGAGCAGGCCCCAAGTAAATTGGCCGAGGGCTTGGAGGTTGTGGTTGGATGGTTGAAGCGAAGCCAGTTGGAACTGAATCCTTTGAAGACAGAGGTTCTCTGGCAGGGTGGGGGGAGATTCAGGACTTGGGTGCCAACTTCCAGCTCTTGACCATGTGCCACTAACACTGGCGTAGATGGTCAGGAGCCTTGATGTGTTCCTGGATGCCTCCTTATCAATGGAGGCCCAGGTCACAAATGTTGTCAGACTGGTGTTTTTTCAACTACGTCAAGTCAGGCAACTGGCCCCTTCCTGTCTCACTCTGACCTAGCCACTGTAATCCATGCAATGGTCACCTCTAGGCTAGACTACTGTAACTCACTGTATGTGGGCCTACCCTTGAAAATGACCCAGAGGTTACAACTGGTCTAGAATGCAGTGGCTCAGGAACAGCGCACATTCAACCTGTACTTTGCCAGCTGCACTGGTTCCAGATTGAGTACGGAGTCAAATTCAAGGCTCTGGTTTTGACCTTTAAGGTCCTTAACGGTCAGGGACCAATGTACCTTCAGGACTGCCTCTCCTGGTATGTCCCATGGAGAGTGTTGTGCTCAGGCGATAAAAATCTGCTGGAGGTCCATGGCCCAAAGAGTGTCCGGCTGTCCTCAACCAGAACCAGGGCTTTCTCTGTCCTGGCTCCAACCTGATGGAGCTCTCTGCTGACTGACATTCAGGCCCTGCGGGATCTATTACAATTCTGCAGGGCCTGGAATGCAGAGATGTTCCGCCAGGCATATGGCTGAGGACAGCAACAGTATGGTTAGTTAGTTGTAGATTTTCCAGGCTGTATGGCCGTGGTTAGTCCTCCTCTCTTCCCTCCCTCCCCTGCTGATCGGGGTAATGAAACCTGTAAATTGTGGCACCTTAGGATACAGGACCTTGTTATTGTGCAGCTCTTAATTTTAACAGTTTAAATTATTATATTATCTGTTTTTGTTGTACACTGCCTTGAGCCTGCCTTGCAGGGAGGGCGGTATAAAAATCTAATAAATAAATCAGTTTCAAGAGAAATAAATATGTTTCATGGAAGATAACGCAAAGCCCTTACCATAACGATTACTGGCATCCTTTTCTGAATGAGCCAATTTCCCAGCCCTTCCATTCTGTTCAGAGTACTTCAGGAGACATGACTTGTCACTGGCCCTTCATGATGATGCAGACAAACTGGGGCTGGGAATAATCATTATCACTGCAACTGAATATAAAAGGGCCAGGAAAATGAATGAGCTTCCTTAAAGGGACATAGGAAGGGAAAGCTAAAAAGTATCCCAGTCATCTGGTGGGCACTCACTTGCTGTTCTTTCAACTGACAGTGTCCAAGATCTGCACCCAATGTGAGATGGAGCACAAAGCAGACGGCATAATGGAGCAGATGTGTTCCAGTGATTTTGGTGAGTTCATCTGAAACCACAAGGAGTTTCTCCAACTGGGTCATCTGAGACTGGCGCTCCACTGAACCACTCATGAGAATACAACCATCAGTACAACTTACTGGGTTTCCAAGACCAGCACTCATCGCATTCACAGCCATGCAAGGAGTGATCAGTCTGATAATTAGATTAATCACCCCAGACAAAGTGGGAGGCAATGATAGCAGGGGATTTGAACCCCTTTGCTCAAACACATCACTTTTTAGGTACCAGTTTCCCTCCCCCCCCCCATGCATCTGGAACAGCAAAAGGATGGACAAGGCTTCCTTCAGTGCACAAATGGGCACTGCAGGAGAATCAAACCCAGTTAAATAACAGCAGCACTCTCTCTTCCTGCCTTCTCTCCATTACAAACAGCACTTGACCAGGATAGCAAGGTGCTCAGTGAAATATCCCATATTCTAGTCTCTCGCGATCAGACATAGCTCTCCCCCTTGTGTGATTCATGAGTCTGAGGGCCAGCCACACAGCATAATTCCCCCACACATGATCTGCCCCAAGTCCTCCATAGAACCCACAACATGAAGAAACCTAAAATGCAAATAAGATAGCCCATGGATGCAACTGCAGCAGTTCCTGCAGTTGCAATTGTCATATAAAGTATTACTGTGAACAAGAAAATTACTTCTGGCTTCGATCATGGGCCATCTAACTCATGCTTTTTCATACAATTTCTGTGGCCTGAGAACAGATCTGACCATGATTGGCTCCTGCCCTTCGTTTTCTAGGACAAGCAGAAACCTGAATGTACACTGTCTGACACTTTCTCCAATGAGTCCGTGATGGACCTTTTATTCTCTAAAACATAACACAGCAGTCATTCAATTGGGCCACAAAAGGTCAAGCCATGAATCCACATATGAGATTAAATGAATAGAGAACGAGGAGGGGGAATTAATCACATTGCCATCCAGAAAGAGAAGGAGCAGCTATAGTACTATCTATTTATTTCTCAAGCATGGGCAGATATGTGGCTAAATCCACAGATTGGGCCCATACTGAGAGAAAACATTTTCGCCAAACTTGGGGGATCTTCAAGATTTGCAGGAAAATCTGAAATTGTTTAAAAAATTCCAGGTGGGGTTTAAATCTCCCCAAACAAAATCATTGAGGGCATATGAGCAGACAACACACCTCTCTCTGTCGCCATAGACTCAGTGATGAGTTGGGGACAGGAGCCACAGTGGGCCAGCGAGGGAGGCCAGGAGCCATGTTGGTTTTGCTGGTGGCAGTTGTGAAGGTGGAAGGGGTGTGGGAGCCACAGAGAGCCTCGTAGCAGAGGCGCTGAGCTCACTGCCACCAATGCTGGGAGGATTGGGGGGCAGGAGCTTCTCTGAGCTCACCAAGATCAGTGTCACTGGAGGGGTGCTGGGGGTGCAGGAGTGTTGTGGGCCTGGCAGTAGAGGCAGGGACAGCAGAGTCTTGGTGATGGGGGGGGCGGGAGCACTGGGCTCCCCGGCATTAATTCTGGTTGGGGGGGGGGCAGGGGCCTGGGGGTGGTGGCCAGGAGCCACAGAAGGCTCACCGATGATTGCTGTGACCTGGGGGGGGACCCATGATACTCATGGGGGGATCCTTCCCCCACTTAGTTTTATTTTACTTTAAATGTAATTTAAAGCTGGAACAGTGATGGGCTGCTGGCAGTGACAGTGGAGGGGAGTTAAAGCTAAAGGGGATGGGATCCCCCTCCCTATGAGTATCCTGGGTCCTCACTTGTCAAGATATATAATTCTCAACATGGCCAAATCTATGGATACTTAAACCTGGAAACTGGAACCGTTAACAGACAAGACAGATCTCTACAAACCTAAAAATGCCCCAGGTGCATAGAAGAAAATGAAATCTTAAAATACACACACACTTTGGGGGGTTAAAAATCACCCAAAATAATAGAAGCAGCACTTGTAGCTTTAAGAAATGAATGCCCCCAGTGGCCATTGCTAAGTAACCAACCACACAATATGGCCAGCCTTCAAACTTGGTTTTGGCAGCAAAGGCAGGGGATATGGCCTTTTCCAGGGCTGTTTTGGCACCTTGTCACGCACCTTGTGTGACTCACCCAGGACCAGCCACTTGCTACTGTTCAACAGCAGCCACCCCATGAAAGCCAGTGTGGTAGAGTGGTTACAGTTTCAGACAAGGATTTGGGAGGCCCAGGTTCGAGTCCTTACTGTGCCACAGAAGCTCATAGGATGACCTTGGGCCAGTCACACATTCTCAGCCTAACACACCTCACAGGGCTGTTGTAAGGATAAAACAGAGGAGAGGATAATGGTGTAAACTGCTCTCAGTCCCCATTATGGAATAATTGGGGTATAATTGAAATAAATCCATAATAAATATAGATTGGGGGGAAGCAAATAAAGTTGGGGGGCGGGGAAGAGATAAAAGGAAGCAGGGAATGGTGAAGATACTGGGATTTCCAGGAGGAAGAAAAGTGGAAATACTGTGGTGAGGGGGATATGGATAAAAGTAAGGTTTCCCCTTCACAAGTCTTCACAGGATCCCTGGTGGTTAGCACTGCATAGCGGCTGGAACTGAGCAGTTTTCCAGGAAGAAGCTGCCAGGGAGGGAAGGCTGAAGACAGGGGGCAGATTAGTTAGTTTGGCTGGTGGGTCCGAAGGAAGCAGAAAAAGGGGAGAGACTATGAGGACTTTCAGGGACAGGAAAGAGAAAATAGTGCATGAAGGGGAAATGAGATACCCCCTCAAGTCCTCCTTGTACTGACCAAATTCTTTCTCCTTTCTTATACCCATTCCCTGCATTTACAAAGCCATATCATTTAACCCATTATCCTTTTCCCCCGCACAGTGGTGAAGATGCGTATCAAGGAGATCAAGAAAGAGAATGGGGAGAGGCGTTTGGTGGCTGCTCAAAAGAAGAAAAAGCTACTTAAAGTAGGGCCACTGAAGCGCAAGGACACCAAGAAGCTGGTGCTACATATGAAGAATGCAGGCGCTTGCCCCTGCCCCCAGCTTGATGACCTCAGCGGCAGCTTCCTGGTGATGGGTCGGAAGGTGGGTGGGAGACTGCTGGTCTTGGCCATTTACCGCTGGGAGAAGAAGAACAAAGAGATGAAGTTTGCTGTCAAATTCATGTTCTCCTACCCCTGTTCCATGCATTACCCCTTCTTCTATGGGGCAGAACCCCACTGAATTGTCACTCATTCTGAGAGCCTTGCTCATTCTTGCTCACACTACATACCCTTTCCTTCTTCTATGGGCAGACCCCACATCAGACCCATCCAATCTATACGCCCATGCCTGAAAGGATTCTTTCCTCTGTAGCACAAACTTCACAAAGCTCCAGATCTTCATGAGAGCTCTGTCCATCTTGATGCTCCTTAACACTAGAAAACTTGCAGAATTATCCTCCATCCTAAACACCTGGCAACTAAGAGCAGGTGTAACAACTCTTCAATCCCAGTTATCCTCTAATAGTGGCTGAACTGCCCAGGATTTTAGCAGAAACACAATGGCTGCAAACTTATATTGCCAACTCCAGTTTTCTATTGTTAATTGCTATGACTGAACAGATCAAGATGGGTAGCTGTGTGAGTCTGTAACAGTAGAAAAGAGCAAGAGTCCAGTAGCACCTTAAAGATTAACAAAATTTGTGGCAGGGTATGAGCTTTCGTGAGTCACTGCTTACTTCTTCAGGTATCTGAAGAAGTGAGCAATGACTCACAAAAGCTCATAAGACTGTGCAGTCTAAGATCAAGGAATGTCACAAGCAGGATTATCTATGCTTTGACCATTCCAGTTATTAACTTGTATAGTTCTTTGAAGCCTTGCATAAAAAGGTCTGCTTGCTCTAAAAAGATTTCAGTCAGGACCAGCTGTGCTACTGGAACAATCATGTCCAACTAGAATGTCATTGAAGTGACAATCCCTGATTTTGGCCTCTCTGACCCCAGGCTGAGCAAAATTTCAAGAAGCTTGACAGCCTTGCCATACTTATATAGTGGTATTGAGATGAATGTAATATGCTTTAACTAAAGATGCCCTTTAGCTATGACATGATAATCTATTACCCTATTCACCCCCCACTGTCTTCTTCATTGCTTTGAATTATGGAAACATAACTCAGGCAGAGGTTTTTTTGGACCCTTAAACACTGTAGGCAATTTCAAGTGAGTAGCAAGGCTATATAGCATGAAAGTGATCTGCTCCCAGAGCACTAATGTAAATGCTGTTCCCAAGGCATGGTGCCTTGCAAGCCAATGGAGTTCAAGTGATCTATAGATTTAATTCTTCATGGCTGTTTTAATGGAGGGGAACCCTCCCCATATAAGCTGTCCTAGATGAGGAACACCCCTGAAAGTGGGGCCCGATCAGTTCCTGTCTCCTCTGTCCTCCACACTCACCTGTTTACAGCTTGTAGAAATACCATGACTCTACAAAGCGCTATTACAAACTGTTACTAGAGAGGCAAGTCTATATTGTACGCATTCCAGTGAGGATGCCAAACCAGCAACTGGGTGGTTGTGTCCACCAGCCAGACCACCAACTGAGCCCAGCTGATGGCAAACACAGGGTGGATGTTGTCTCCCTGGGGCCCCTCTGGCTGGCGTATTCCCAACCTCCTGAGTTCTGGAATCAGCTGGCAAGGCAATCTGGGGATGAATATTTATAGCAGCAGCATGCCAGTTTGGGATAGGAGGGGGGAGTTGTCTAACACAACGCAGACTGTGGAGACTGAGCCCAGCCTCCTTTCCAGCCAAAATCTGTTGAGGGCAAGAGGCTCAGTGCAGACAGTGCCTTAAAGAAACCTCTCAGTCAGTCTGGGAATCCCAGACCTTCAGACTTTCTTGATGAACTGCTTTGCAGTATGTTACACACAGTACAGTGTGGTGGGGTTCGTGGTCAGTGGTTGCGGCTGCCTCTCAAGACTATCCTCTGTCAACTAGCAAGGCTCCATTCCTGCAGGCTCCCTTTGCTCACTGTAGGGCACATTTATCACAAGGGGGAGGATGGTAACTCAAGCAGGCTGACCAAAAATAGGAGGGGGGGTGATGGCAAATGGAACCCTCAAAGTGACTGCCCAGGAGAGTAATCCCTTGGGAGTGAGCTGCCCAAAGGCTATCAAAAGCTTATCAAGTCCTGCTGTTCCTGAAGATTTCAAATCAAAACATGACTTGGTTTTCACTCTACAAGATTAAAAGAAAAAATTCTATCTAGCACCTGCTCAAAGCTCCTCTTTTTTCTTTTACATTCCACATAAACAGGCGGAAGAATCTTTAATTTCTGGGGATGACCTTTTAATGCTATCCTCAGAGGCTCATTTGTGCTAAATCTGCCCCCAAGCACTGAATTTAAGGTTTCACCCAGGCAGTCATCTATTGCTCACTCCCAAGAATCAGGCCAACTAAAAGCACTGCCACTATATGCATGAGAACGACGATATATGTACAAGAATCAAGAGTGTGAGAGACACAAGATCTTTTGCATTCTTGCCTGCAAATATACATGGGGGGCTGTGAGGACTCATGGGGGAGAGGACATCTATGCCCATCAGCCCCATTTTCTCTTCCTCTTGTTCACCTTACACTCCCATAATCGCTTGCTTGCTTCCCCTATCACTACTTTCTCCCCCCTCCCAACCTCTTGCCAAAGCCACCCAGGGTTTAAAGACACCCCCCCTCCCAAACAACATGTAAATCTACACAACAGGGTTCATGTTTTGAGTCACACTCCGGGGTCATTGTTCAGAATTAGATGTGTTGACTGAGGGGTCCTTGGTGCAGCAACACTAATTTGGGCAGCATGCCAGCAGTTCCCGGTGACATCTATGAGAGGAATAGATGATAATGTCCCTATACTAAAAACAATTCTGGTAGAATTCCACCCCCCTCACACACACACTCCAACACCTTTAATAGCAGAGTGCTCAAGAAGGGAATAGCTCACAATTCCCAGTTTGTGCAGGTGGATTTCAAGCAGCTTCCATTTGGCCATGCCATAGGGGAGGTGAAAACAGCTGTTTATTTTTTTCAAGAGCAGAAAAATGGGGGGAATATTGCACCCCTAGCTCACCATACACATATATTCAGCCCTAGATTTCCTAAGAGTGTACCAATATGATGCATTCTTTAAGCAGCTCCAAACACCTCCCACTTCCAACAACATCCACTATAACATAGTTCAAACTTCAAATACAAATTGGATTAAACAGTAGTTCAAATGACTAGCATGCAAAACGTATGTCCCAGTTACGTTGTGCTGTGTCCCGCTGTCCCCCCCCACCCCACCCAAGCATATATTCCATAATTTCAAGCTTGGTGCAAACATCTTTTCTTAGAGCTGCTTAAGGAATGCTGTATATAATCAAACCTATTCCTTGCAAAACTATTTCAAAAGAATTCCAGGCACCTTTCCCCCTTTTGAAAGCTACAAGCATCAGATGTACGCCATCTAGAGGCCAGAGCCACACTCAACAGCACGGCAGGTTGCTGCATTTATTCAGGGTCAGAAATATGCTGAAGGCTTAATCTGCCATGTGAGTATAGTCAAAAAACTAGAAGAAATCCACACCAGGGAGCCTGTGTGGTGCAGTGGTGTGTCAGACCAGGATCTGGGAGACCCAGGCTCAAATCCCCACTCTGCCATGGAAGCTTGGTGGGTGACCTTGGGCCAATCATTCTTGCAACCCAACCTACCTCACAGGGATGTTGTTGTGATAACATGGAGGGGGGGGGGATGATGTTATAAGCTGCTTTGGGTCCCCATCAGGGAGAAAACCAGGGTATAAGTATCTTAAGTGAATAGAAGCTACCTACCAGCTGAAACTCAAGTTCCTCACTTCATTGTAATACCCCGCTCTGCATTTCCCCCCATTCATGACAGCAGAGGCTCTGCTGCTATTAGCTTTCCCAAAATATCCCTGTAGCTCTTGAGCCTGCTGCACCTTCTCCTCACATCTGTGATCAGACTGCAATAAATGAAATAAAAGCTTTATGTTCTCCCAGCAGAGTTTGGCAAGATTTGGGAAACACCACTTCATGGCAATATATATGAGACCGCATATTGATCCTCCCCAGTGCAGTCTTATGATGTGCTCCATTCACTTACAAAAATTGCCATCTCGCACAGTTTAAAATGTCACCCTGTGCCAACGATGCAGGAAATTATGAGATTATTATGTGCAAATGGTGGAATAATGTACAAATTGTAGTGGGTCTGTAAATAAAGTAGCAGACGCCACTGCAATCCTCTTGCAGTCAGCTCCTGCACAGGGCTGATTAGCATCCCATAAGCTTTAATGAGATTACTTTTGATATTGATTGAACATTGCTGCTATTTTTGTCTTGAGCCAGCTAGGGAGCAGAAGTCGCACCCACTCACTGCTATGCTGCTCAGCTCCTGGATGCAGCAAGGCAAAGGCCTTTCCTACCAATGGATGGGATTCAGATTCCCAACTGACCTGTGGTCAATTCTCATAGACTGGACCCAGGGCAAATGTGCAGACAATGAACCATAGCAACCTGCCACGGGGTGGGGCACACTTTCCACTGCAGTTGCACTCCTCAGCCTTGCTGCCTTACGGCTGAGATGTCCAGCTACAATAAATTCACTGTAGAGTGGCAAGTAGCTATACCAAAAATACTGTTTCAACCACAGCTGAGTAAAATGCCACTGAGTGCCGTCCTGTTTGTCTAAGTGGCAGAATATACATAAGTGGCAGCAGAGACCTCACAAGGAAGAGACCCTAAAGTTTTGTAAACTCTGGGTAACAACACTTTCCCCCCTCCTTTCTACAGTCACCTCTTTGCGCAGCCATAACAGAACCTGACCTTCTCCAAAAGGTTCTTTCTGAGGCCTAGGCTGCACTCACTTGCTGAGAGTGGATTCACTTCACAGGCAAAGTTCAGGTAAACCAACAGACTTTGTGTCATAGTCTGTCTGAGGCAAGAGAACAAGAAGGTTGACAGAAAGCCAACTCTGCATTACAAGTCAGGATATTGGCCATTTGTGCACAGGAATAACAGCTGTGGCTTTAGAAACCTGGTAAGCAACCTGCACAAACAGGTAAGGAGAGTAAACTATAAAACAGCAGACAAAATGTGGAATCTCATGGTCATAAAAGCAGATTAAAACATACCAAATTAATTAACCTTGAACTTCACGATAGACACACCAATTAACCAAATCTGGAGAATCCTCTCATTGAAAATAACGAAGAAAAGGGAGTAACCAGAGTTGGAGGGAGGGACAGAATGTGGTTGATACATGGAAGAACATCCAGCTGGGAGCTTTCAGCTTGCCTCTGCTGTCCTCCTTCTGCAAAGCAGAACATACAATCCAGCCTTTTTTCAAAGCTCAAACCAGGCACCTGTAAGATGAGTTGTGGCAGAAGGAGTTATGAAGCAAAGAAGCAAAGAATCAAGAGTATTACACTTTTATGAGTACAGAGCTTTACCAAAGGTGCTACAGATGAACTGAATTTTTAAAAATCCTATGAGCTCTACTGACACCTAACACTCCATCATTTGTTCCAGTAGGGTTAGAATCAACAGTGAGGATCTTTGATAAGAGTCCCTTTGTATTTTAGGATGGCAAGACAGTTGGTGTAGTCCAGCATCTGGTCTCCAGCAATGGCCAAGCAGATGCCTCTAATACACAGCAGGCATCTACCTACTGACTACACTCTGACAGAAAAAGAGGTAGTCTTCTGAAAATGGTGGCCCACTCCCATTTACTAAGCAACCCCAACAGATCTCGGCTTTGATCTAGCAATGCACACAAGGAAACACTTAATGCAGTTCTGCTTGCACAAGATATTGTGCAACACTTAGCACTTTCCTCTGTATACATTACAGTGACCAGAAACTGATTGTACAAGACCCTATGCAACCAGAAACACAAGTGAGGATACCATAAGCTTGACTCAGCACAAGTAGCCACAGAGATATTTTTCTTATTTTATTTAAGGCCCACCTTTCTCATGGAGACTTAAGGCAGATTACACAGGGGAAGCCAATGAACAGAGCTCTAGCACAAGCTGAAATTCTGCACTGAATCCAACCCAAAGATATAATTATCCTCCCTACATTTGCCTAAACGTTTTTAAGCCACCACTAGTGTCAATGGAAATTAACTCCGTATCATAAGTTAAATATTGCGAAGTAGTGCTTCTTGTGGCCCTTCAAAAATCGATTTCCAGTCAGACTAATGTCCATAACACACTATTATGTAACACTTGTGTTCCTGGATACTCTGTCCCAGACAAAGAGGATAAGAAATGCATCAGCATTTGATCCCAGGATAGCACCACCACCACCACCGTGAGCTACTCTGCAGCACTGGCACGTGCTGCAAAGGACGCCTCAAGCTGTAAGAGGGCAGTCCTCTACAAAAGCAATCATACCTTTGCCACTCCCTTCTCTACTGCACTGCATCTCACACAGCTCAGTACAGGGTAGTCCAGCCATTGCATTTCTGCTTCCCAGCTTGATACCTTCTCAACCTGTATGTGGCAACCTCCTCTCTTTCCCCAATCTGTCAACCCAGGTCTCATAACTCCCACCTCATGACTGCATTCAAAGGCCCTTCGTCCCAAACTCTGACACATACCTAGGCCCTCCCACATCAAAAGCTGTTTTAGACACTGGGAGTGCTGGCTCCAGTCTCAAATAACATCATTTATTAGTAAAACAGATACTAGAAAGCAGCAACAATCCATATACACCCCACTTCTGCGAGCCAGCTCCTACTGAAGCAGGTACCCCACACACCTGAGTTTTGTGATTAATGAGAATCCCAGATATCTGCAGAAGTATCTGCTCTCACAGTGCACAGATGAAGGGGGACAATGTCTAATTCCCCTCCAGGCCAAACTGAGGAGCTTTGGCTATGCGCTACCTAGGATGAGCAAAGACAATAGCAAAGGGAAGAGAAGAGGGATTCTGTCCCCGTTCGATGCAGGAAGAGAAAGCAGATCCAGCTGCACAATGTTCTCAGCTGCAAGGGGACAAATTTGGGGGTGGGGGGCAAACTTCTTTACAGAGCAGAGCCAGCCACAGCTGCCATCCAAAGGAAGAACCAGTCTCCGCCTCAGAACAACTGGCATCTTACCCAACAGTGAAACAGACCTTTTGGATACCTGGCAGTCCGGAAGCCAAGAGGAGTCCTGCACAGCAGAGCTCCTGTGAAAGTAACAAGGTGCAGGAGATCAGGGCTTCAGGAAGCCAAAGGACCATCTCTTTTTCCCTCCCAGGCTAGTAACAAAGGGGAAGCTTACAGTAATCTAACACATAAAGAACCTCCTGTCCAGTTCTGCCTGACTGCAGAACCCCTCCCCAGCGGCTCACACACCAGTCACGGGGGAGAGGCACACACAGAGCACTCAGGGGGTCAGGTGCGCCAGCCCGTCCTATCACAGTTCCAGGGAGGGGCCGTGCGAGAGCACAAAGCCATGGCTTCAGTCCCACAAGGATCGGCATGTACAGGCGAAGAGGCAGAGCAGATCCAGCAGAGAACAGGACTCGGAACCCGCTTCTCACTTGATGAGCATTAGATTACAGTGTCCGCACACAAAGACAGTTTCCCGCTGGGCATCAGGTGCTGTGGGAGGAAGCATCGGTCAGAATTCAGGGCCCACCAAGCACTGTGCAGTTTCACATACACACCCCACACTGACAAAAAAAACTCGTTACAACCTCAGGTACACATCCCAAGAGACCGAAAGCATTTAGATTTTCTCCTAGCTCCCCGACTGAACCATCCCAAACAGAACATCAAAAGAGAGAGCACCCCTGCCCTCCCCCCTCGCTGCCCAACATAAAGCCATCTCACCCACCTGTAGCCCCCATACAGCTCTTGGGAACTCTGAAGGAGCAACATCTGCTGCAGAAACTATTCCCACAGTTACTGCAGTTTCGCTGGTGGGGGGGGGGAGAAGAGAGAGAGAGACAAAAACAGCTATAGGGAGAACATCGGAAGAAGCCCCCCTCAATCCAAATGTCATTTCTTCCCCCAAGATGGGCTCTCCTCTCCCCGGTGGCCAGGCCTTGCATACCATTCCACTCGCCACCCGTGCAGAAACAGATCAAGAAGACCACTTTGAATACTGGAAGGAGGGGGGGGGGGAAAGGCTGTGCCTTGCCCCAGGAAATGCAGCTCCCCCCCTCAGTACTCAAGCTGTGGTGCCATCCCCTTCCCTGATGCTAGCCTCAGAGCCAAGAGGACAAAAGAACTTAGAGCCAGAGAGCGTATTAACAAGAACCCATCAGATACTCATTATGATTCTCTCCCCTCCCTCCTCCAGTGCTGCAGCAGCCGCAAGGACTCAGGAAGGTGAACCACCGAGCTGCAGTCTGCCGTGTGATACCCACAAGACAAGGGAGCAGGGAGGGGAAGGGGAGTGGGTAGCCTGGGTGAGGCAGGGACTTACCCGCTTCTTCAACAGAGAGAAAGTGGCTGAACAGTTGGCACAGTTTGCTGCAAAGGAAAGAAACGGGGGGGTGTCCATGTGATGCTCCCTCCGGCTAACCTCCTATTCTTTTTTAGTAAACAAATTTTATTTTCTCAGGAATACAACATATAAAACATTTCATTCTATCAATTGTCTACCCCATTCCCAGTTCCTCCCCTCCCTCCAATGGCTTCCCACAATGCTTCCACCCCTGCTCCAAATTATTTCATATCATCAACAATATCAGTTTTTCATCATTACAATCTAAAGATAACATCGTTTGACTTAATATTGATCTAAACATATTAAGTTTTGTTTCACATCCCAGTTCTTTTCCAGATAAATTTTAAAATCATTCCATTCTCCAAAAAACTCTTCGTCTTCTTTGTTATTCAGTTTTTTTGTAATCTTATCCATTTGTGCCATGAACAGAACTTTTTGTATCCATTCTTCAACCTCTGGTACCTTTTCTGTCTTCCAAAACTGAGCATAAATCATTCTCGCTGTCACTATCAGGTACCAGAGTAAAGTTTTTTTAGTCGTATTGACTTCTTCCATTTTGAGTCCCAAAAGCAGAATTTCCGGTGCTTTTTTAAAAGAACATTTCAGTATTTTTTGCATTTCATTGTGGACTTTTGTCCAAAAGTCTACAGCTTTCTCACAAGTCCACCACATATGATAAAATGAGCCCTCATGCCTCTTACATTTCCAACATTTGTTTGACATATTTTGATTCATATTTGCAATCTTCTTAGGTGTCATGTACCACCTATACATCATCTTATAACAATTTTCTTTAACATTAGTACATGTCGAGATCTTAATAGAGTTTTTCCACAAATATTCCCAAGTTTCCATATCCACTTCCTTATTCATATTAATAGCCCATTTTAACATTTGTTCTTTAACAGTTTCATCTTCAGTATACCATTTTAACAACACCTTATACATTTTAGAAATATTTTTTCCTCCTCCACTCTCCCATACCTTTTCAATTTCATTTTTTTCCTCTCTAAAACCATAGTTTTTTTTGTCAGATCTAAAAAGATCATAAATCTGCATATATTTCAACCACTCATATTCATATTCAATTTCATTCTGCTTTTTCATTACCCACTCTGTTCCCTCTTTTTTAATTAAATCTCTATATGGCAACCAGTCTCTACCTCGCTGTCTTGAGTAAGATATCAACACTTCTACTGGTACAATCCACAATGGTCTTAAGTCACTCTGGTACTTCTTATATCTTGTCCATACCATATACAAAGCTTTTCTCACCAAGTGAAGTTTAAAAAAACTGTCCATTTTTATCTTGTCATACCATAAATATGCATGCCAGCCAAATCTACAATCATGCCCTTCCAACCCCAACAATCTGTCATTTTCAAGCTTCACCCATTGATCCATCCATGTTAGACAAACCGCTTCATAATATAGTCTAAGATTTGGCATTTGTAGACCTCCTCTTTCTTTGGCATCACAAAGTATTTTCATTTTGATCCTTGGTTTCTTGCCTGCCCAAACAAATTTTGACAACTCTTGTTGCCACTTGGCCAACAAATCCGTTTTATGCAGAATTGGTATTGTTTGGAACAGGAACATCAAACGTGGTAGGACATTCATTTTTATAACTGATATTCTTCCCATCAGTGATAAGTTCATTTTATCCCATTTCTTAAAATCTTGAGTCAGCTTAGTCCATAATTTCTCATAATTATTCTTATATAGGTCTATATTTTTTGCCGTTAATTCAATTCCAAGGTATTTTGTTTTTTTAACTACTTCACATTGTACCAGTTCTTGTAGTTCCACTTGTTTTTGTTTGATCATGTTTTTACATATAAGTTTTGTTTTATTCTTATTTACGTAAAAGCCGGCCAATTCTCCAAACTCCTTTATTTTTTGAAAAAGCAATGTCAATTTTTCTGTTGGGTTTTCCACCATAAACATTACATCGTCTGCAAATGCTCGATATTTGTATTGGTGTCCTTTATGTGTCAAGCCCTTTATTTCTTGATCGTACTGTATTTTTTGTAAAAGTATTTCCAATACCCAGATAAATAATAACGGTGATAACGGACAACCTTGCCTTGTTCCTTTCTGTACTTTGAAGTTATCTGTCAGTTCTTTATTCACATTTATTTTAGCTCTTTGTTCAGAATAGATAGCTTCAATACAATTTCTAAAATGTTGTCCCGCTTCAATCTTTTCCATCATCTGGTGCATAAAATTCCAATTAAGATTGTCAAAAGCTTTTTCTGCATCAACAAACAGAAAAGCTACTTCTTTTTCTGGGTGCTTTTCATAATATTCAATTGCGTCCATTACTATTCTTACATTGTCTCTAATCTGCCTTTTGGGTAAAAAGCCCGCTTGATCTTCAGAAATTACCGTTTGTAAATAGTTTTTCACCCTTTCTGCAATAATTTTTGCAAAGATTTTATAATCGTTGTTCAAAAGAGATATTGGCCTGTAGTTCTTTACATTTGTTGAATCTTGTCCTTCCTTTGGAATCAAAGAAATAATTGCTTCTTTCCATGAGTCCGGCACCTTTTTGTTTTCTCTTATTTCGTTGGTTAAAGCTTCCAGGACCGGGGAAATTTCTTCTTTCATCTTTTTGTAGAATTTCGCTGTAAATCCGTCCGGCCCAGGCGCCTTCCCCAACTTTGTCTCTTCTATTGCCTTCATCACTTCTTCTTTTTGAATTGGACCATTTAATAAATCTTTGTATTCCTTACTTATTTTTGGTAGTGGAATCTCCTTTAAATATGTTTTAATCTTCTCAAGATCAACTCTAGTTGTTTGGAATAGTTTAGCATAATACTTGAAGAAACATCTCTTTATTCCATTAGGATCAACGAACTCTTTTCCATCTTCTATTATTTTGGTTATCATTCTTCTCTCTCTTCTAGCCTTAAGTTGCCAAGCTAAGTATTTTCCCGGTTTGTTCGCCCCTTCAAAAGATTTCTGTTGTAACTTCTTTAAATTCCAATACATTTCCTGATTCCAAGTCTCATTCAGTTGTTCCTTCAGCAACTTTAATTCTTTAATAATTTGCTTTTTTCCAGGCTTCTTTTTTAATTCCTTTTCTTTCTGAGCAATTTTTTCTAACACTTCTGTTTGTTTTTGAAGTTTTTCCTTTTTTTGCTTCACGTTTTGCGAGATGAGAATTCCTCTCATCACCGCTTTATAAGCATCCCATACAATCTGTATCGGTGTTTCTTTATTTAAATTTTGTTGAAAGAATTGTTTCGTTTCTTCCTTTAACATCTCAATTACCGTTTTCTTATCCAACAAGTCTTCATTAATCCTCCACAGAAAGGGTTTTTTCCTTTCTGTGGAACTCCATACCACCGGATTGTGATCTGAATTACATCTTGGCAAAATTTCAGTCTTATGTGTTTTCATTGATAATTCTTCAGACATCCAAATCATATCAATTCTGGAAAAAGAGCAATGTCTATTGGAATAAAAAGTAAAGTCTTTCTGCATCGGGTTCCATTTCCTCCAAACATCTTCTAATTTTTCTTGCTTAACTAATTCAAAAAAATTCTTTGGCAATTTTCCGCTGAATTCGTTGTCCTTTTGTGGTTTTCTGTCTAGACGATCTATTGTCCCATTAAAGTCTCCGGCCATAATAACTTGCTCATAAGTCAATTGTTGTAATTGGTCAGTTATATCCTTAAAAAATTTTTCCTTTGCTCCATTGGGTGCGTACACGTTGATCAACAATGTTTTTTTCTGCTGAATCATTAATTCCACACCCACGTATCTGCCATCTATGTCCTTAAAAATTTCTGTAGGTTGTAACTCCTTCTTCACATATGTCACAACTCCTTTTTTCTTGTTTGAGGCCGCAGAACAAAATTCAATTCCAAATAAAGCATTCTTTAAATATTTTATATCCTGTTTTCTAATATGTGTTTCTTGCAAGCATATCACGTTGCATTTCTGTTTCTGTATCCAATGATTGATTCTTTTCCTCTTGTTTGGTGAATTTAATCCATTAACATTCCATGACAACAATTTGTACTCCATTATGCGTTTTATTTTAAAGTTCTCCAAAGACGTCCGCATTGTCCGCCTTAAATTTATAAAAGTCCATCATCGATCTGATCTGAATCCTCCCACCTTGATACGTAAAGGATAAACCTTGTGGAATCTCCCATCTATATCTGATGCTCAAAGCTCTGAGTTTGTCCGCCAAGGATTTATACCTTTTCCTGTCTTGCAGTATTGTTCTTGGGAGTTCTCTCATCACCATAATTTTGTTTCCCTCTATTACAAAAGGGACGTTGAATTGCTTCTTGAATATCTCCTCTGTTATTGATCTTGTTACAAATTGTACAATTACATCCCTTGGTAAATTCTTCTTTTCTGCAATTCTGGAGTTCACTCTATAAATCAAATCAAAGTCTGAGTCCATTGACCCTTCCTCCTCGCCCAGAAAAGCCGTTATCACTTCCATCATTTTTTCTTTTAAGTTCTCATTCTCTGTTTCCTTAATGCCTCTGAATCTCAGATGAGTCTGCATCCTTCTGAACTCCATCATTGTCTCTGATCTTGTAATTTGTTGAGTCAAAGAATCTTGTTTCTCTTCTATTTTTTGTATCTTCTCCTCTGTCTCTGTAGTCTTGGTTGCATTTGCTTGAACATCCTTCTTAACTCCTTCCATTTCTTGCTTGATTGAAGTTATTTCTGTAGTAACCAATTCCTTCAATGCTGTTATGTTCTTCTCTTGGACTTCTTCTAGATGTTTCAGATGAATCTGAGTTTGCTTCTCCAGTTGGTCCCCCAATGTTTTTTCTATCTGCTCCCCCATGGCTTGTATTGCCTCTGTCATTCTCTTCTCCATTGCTTCCATGGAGGCTTGCATCTCTTTTTTCTCTCTTTCTCTTGACATTTTGGGGGTTGAAGTAGATCCAATCCTAGGTCTCACAACCGGTTTAAGTTCTGGGTCTGAGTCGGCTCTTTTCTTGCCTCTCCTGGTCTCCGTCTTGGCGATTTCTTTCCAATTCACAGATTCGCAAAATAAAGCACTCTTCTAGATGATAAGATTTAGTCCTCCATGCCTCTCTGTTTACGCTTTCCAAAGACCCTTAGAAATATATTAAAAAAGCAAATTTAGTTGAAGTCCTCCTCAAAATGTCGGGCGCAACTTCTCTATGGTAATTTCATGTAGAGTAGGTCAGATTGGTATTTTGCAGGCCCTTCCTTCCGCATAAAACTCACTTCCGGTCCGGCACCTTTAAAAGTTCCACTGTCTTCCTTTCGCTAATGCCCGTCTAGGAATTCAACTTCCTGGATGTTTCACACGGACCTCTTTCTTTGTGACACCAGCCTGCTCTTCCCACGCTATTGTTCGTGAGTTTCGATTTTACAGTTGCGCACACGGCTCCATCTTCACCACAGGAATGTTAAACAATAAGCGTTTTTACAGTTTTTAAAGGCTTCAATCAACTTTTTTCTCTCCGGAATCGGATTTCTGGGATTTACTATTCATTTTCCGCTCAACCGCTTAATTCAAATTGACTCCAAACTCAGTTCAGGTAAGCGGCACGTTTTTGTTATCTAGCACGTTCAAAACGGGTTTCGCATTGTTTCTTTTAACTCACAGTTGTTGTCCTTCTTCAAAGAGGTCGGCTGACGAAGAATTTATGCCGGTAATCCGGCTCGATCGGCCACTATAGAGTTGCTTGGCACTTGCCTTCTTCGTGGGAGGAGGTCAAAGCCCAATTCAGCTTCTTCCGAAGCTGGATTACGCCAACCTCACACTCCCTCTAGGGCGCTGCTGCCTGCTTGTCCCCCCCCCTCGCTGGGGAGTGATGCGTTGGGCTGTGTATTGCCCAAACTGTCAAAAGTGGCCGTCGCTCGCTTCGCACGATCGCGAAACGCTTCAGTCCTCCATCTTAGCCAGACCGGAAGCCCGCTAACCTCCTATTCTTAAGCCCCGTGGCCCTGCCCTCACCAGTCCTGGCGACAGCCCTTCTCTGCCAACACCTCCTCAGCACCTCTCTTGACTAACGAGTCTCCCGTGTACATCCCTGCCGCCCACCATCGTGATTCCCTCTGCCTGGGTCATGACTGGTTATGGGATCTGGCTGGCGGAGGGGAAGAGAGAAAGAACAACAGTGGCCAGTGGGTGGAGGAGACATTTCCAGGGCTAGCAGTGCAATCCTAAGCAGAGGGAGCCCTTCTACGTCCACTGGATTTTAAGGCTTAGAAGAGTAACTCAGCTTAGGGCTGCTACCTCTGTACAGCTGCCTTGCCCCATGTTTTCGTTGTATCACATGATCCTGCCCTCACAAGGTGGCTGTGAGCATAAACATGAAACAACTCCACCTACTCTGCCCTCATCTCTTCAAACCAGGTTGATTTTTTTTTTTAAATCAAATCTTCCACTACTTAAGAGCTTTAGCAACTGGCTTGAAAAGAATGCCAGATGAAGCCTCAGAAAACTGGGGCTGGGTGGAAGATGGGTAAGATTTCCATGGATCAGTATCCTTCACTCCCTTCATATCACGGGCTCCTCCAAAGGAAGAGCCACTCAAGGTGGAGGAAGGCTTCACACTTTGCTGAGAAAAGTGGTGGATCCACCCCAGCATATGTGAAGAGTATGCATTTTACACATTTATATATGCTATAGAATGAAGCGGTGGTTTTCAAAGTACAAAGCGTATAATGCCCTTGGGCAGAACAACATTTTTGTTACCCAAGACTCACTCAGCACACTTGCCAGCTATCACCACCACTTCTGTGATAGCTACTGGGCCAAATGCCCCCTTTTTACCCCACCCAAAGCACTATCCTGCCACATTCCCAACCACGTGCATGCACCGGAATCTCTTACTACACTGGTTCTACCATCCTACCTCCCAGTCCAGTGCCAAGGTTACTCGTTGGGTAGCGCTTGCGCAGACGCTCTGCCAGTCGTGACATCTTTACGCGAATCATCTCATCCTTTGTCAAGAAGGTGCTAACAGAATGGCCTGGCTCATACTCTATTAAGCGCTGGGAGACATCATCCTCTTCCTGGGTGGGAGCAAAAGCAGAGAGAAGAACGTGTCTGGAAGAAGCCAGTGTACGCCTGGAGGCAGCTGGGTAAGGGCAGCCTGGGAGGACTTCAGCAGAGCCACTGCCCAAAGGCACGGCTCTAAGGACATGGAGAAACAAGGATCAGAAAAGCAGGAGGAGGTCCAGATCCTGGGGGGGGGGGGGGGGCTCACACCCAATCTCACACAAGAGGTAGAGTATAGGGGAAGAAATGGGACAAAATGAGCATAAAGGACTTCAGTTCAAGCCAGATGCCAGACATCAGCTGGCATATGGACCTGGAAAGAGAAACAAGCTGAGTTTTTAAACTTATTTCAATGATATTCCGTTTTCCTCCCCAAGGGGGACTCATGGGGAGGTCTGGCCCCCAACACTCACCATTGGCAGCAGCTGTGTCTCCTACTCCCGCAGCAAGGAGAAGAAAATAAGAAATTATGGCCAGGAGACAGAAAGCAGAAGGACACAGCCTAAGCCACCCTCACCTTAGATGGTGGGTGCCCCCACCCCAAGAACATGCATCTACCTTCACTATTCCCTCTTCCCCATATCAGGACCTTTTCTTGCTTCACAACACAGATTAGTACAGGCCTGTTGAAGTCTGCCCCCCACCTTCTAACACAGACCTCAATAGCATCCTTGAACTCATCATCAGGCTCCGCTTCCTCCGCTTCCTCCACGCTGCCTGGGGTCAGATCCTGCCAGGGGAAGCAAATATCTGATATTACGACACCCAGCAGTATTTGAGATGGTGGCATTCAAGCCAAGATGGGTCCCGCCCCATTCTAGCTGATGAATGGTCACATGGAAGTAAAGAACAGACTCCCCTTCCCTCCTGAGCCTTGTTACTGGACAGGACAGCTTTCACTCAAGACCTCAAGAAATAATGGTAAAATCTGGGACTCAAGTTACTGATACCTCCTAGTGGTGGCAACACTTGCAGAAGCAGGCAGTAAAGACAATCCGAAGAAGTGTGTGTGGAGACTCAAAGTCTCCTTTTTAAGATGAATAAAAGAGATGAGCTTGAAAATATACTATATTTTAAGTAGCAAAACAAAGGAATTAAGTCAGAAAATAGATTCAAATCTGTGACCATCAGTCACCTCCCTGTGATTCCACCTTGTAACAGTGGGTTCCAGATGCACCCCAATGCCACTTCATCCTCACAACCAGCTGGGTCTAAAAAGCCACCTCTGAATAGTAGGGAAGGGTAACATTGGGCAAAAGATGGCAGCCCCCCCCCCCGCCCCCCAAGTATCCCTAAAGATAAATTCCAGGCCACAGAGCCAGGTCTAGTGCTGGGCTTTGGAGAGTTTCTGCCAAGATCTATAGCCCTGTCCTTACAGTGATCCTCCTACCTCTTCCTTCATCATCTTATTTTACAGCTAATGACAAGGCATCAGCATGGAAGAAAAAGAGCTGAGTAACTATCTACAGCAGAAGCAAGATACGCAAACTGGCCTTCTATGCCCCAGCCTGATATACAGATCCAAAGACTGGAAACATCGGCAAAGAAATGAGCGAATGCACTATTTTGTAGGCCAGAATGAACGACAACCTTTTGTGTTTGCAAAAGATTAACATTTCCCAACCACCTCCACAAATTATTAAACCAATTCTCAAAGAGCTGGGGGTTGAAAGACGCTCACGCACACCTCACTACGCCCTCTGGGACTTACCTCCGTGCTGGTGGGTGTGGGTGTCTGGTCTGGCAGGACTCCAGCCCCTCCTTCTCCTGCATCCAGCTCTGCAAGCTCTGGACTACTAGAAACAGATGTGAGGCCCAAGCGTTGTTCCACAGCTGACTTCAGTTCCAGTACCACTTGGGAGAAAGCAAGGGAAGGAAAAGAGATGGAAGGATGCCCTGGGAGGCCAGGAAACTCCTCCCAGCAGGTCGCCCAGGTTTTCAGCACTACCAGAGCACTGTTCTAGCTAAGCCCAAACACCCAGGATATAGATACTGCAGACTGAGCAGTTGCTCTGCTCTGCCAGTACCTACTAAACCAGCTTGAAATCCCACTCAGGAGTAAGTCACTGGACTGGATCTTACAACTCTCTTCCACTAAAACTTCCTTCAAAAGAAAAATTACTTTTTCCATTGGAGGAATGTCTTTTCTCCATGACAGGAATCCTTTCTTTGCTGAAGGATATCTTGGCAGGGGGAGTCATCATATCCAACTTAGTGAAAGAGGTCCCACCTCACCGCTAATAAAGTCTAACTGAATAGATAAGCAACTACCTGCTCACTCCCACTTTATAGAAGAAAAATAGCACGTCTACAGTACTCCAGTAAATACTCTCTAGAAAACACAAAATTTGGAAATGGAGGGTTAAAGTGTTCCCTGATACAGTGTCTCCATTCTTACCTAATGGGACGGGCTGGTTTGCTAATATTCATCACTCTTCTCAGCTGTGGCCCCAGCAACATTGCAAAGCCAGTTCAGGGTGAGAACAGGAAGTCTTGCCCCACTCCAGAAGGATGCTGGAGAGGGAGCTACACTGCAAATACATTCACCCTTGCTTGCAACACCTCTCCCCCTCCCCCCCCCAAAAAAACACACCACTACTGAAAGGGATGGCATGTTTTGCTGGAACAAAACATTCCTGAAACGTGCCATTGCCACATGATGCCGTAGTCTCCTGCCAGACCCTCCCACGCAGCAGTTTATCACCCTCGTACCAAGATCTGCTTCCCCACTGGGACATCTCCCAGTGGAAGAGACTTCCAGTACTAAGAGACCAGAGCTGTGCTCAGGGAATGAATTCACTATTTGTGTGCCAAGAATGCTGCACAGTTTTGTGTGCAAGCTTGGGGCAGCAGAAATTCAAACCTACCCCTGTTAGGACCAGGATACAGGAGCAACAGGGATCCCCTGAATCCCACATGCCCACAGCAAAGAAAGCCCCACCTTGGGCACCTGGACTCTGATCCAAGTGTTCTACCCCACAGCTCCCATGTGACAGATAAGTGCCTAGAAGAAGGGAAATGACCTTACCTCGGTAAAATGCCATGTTGCCCAAGAAAAGGGCATTATTGAGAAGAAAGAAGACCCAGCACAAGGGCAGCAGGTAGAGGGCACAAACTGAACCCATCAGCATCCCATAAAACCTGGGGAACAAGTAGGGGGGGAGCAAAAGCCACATGACACACTTGAGAATCAGCAACAGTCCAGAATCCACAGAGGAGCTCTGGCCTTTCTGATTTCTCCTCATTCCAGTATACCAAACACTAACATCACCTGCATATGCCCACCTGCCACCCAACAATTTCCCCTCAAGCAATGCAACCTGTTCGCCTTCCTTATGTCCCCAGGCAGCATCCTTCTGAACGCAACATTGGGAGGGGAAGGGGAACCCAGGCCCTCCACAAGGTGACTGAGCCTGATCAGAGTAGCAGCAAAGTCCACCCACCCCTCATTAACACCACCTAAGGCAACAATATTCCAGCTCCCATGGAATACCCTACTGGCAACACTCACTGGGAGGACAGAGAGGGATTCTCCCAGTATAGGACACGGTAGGCTGCCTCAAAGCCACCACACAGCCGGCTCAGGAAGGCCTCCAATTGGATCAAGCTGAAAAGAAATTACCACAGTGTTATGCACTTTCATGCTCCCACCCACAATCCCACAGAGATCCCAACAATACAAGTTCCAGTAGCTGTACACCTGGGGAAAGACTATCCCTACTATCCTGTTTATCACAGAATAAGAACACAGAAAGGCCCCTCCCAGTGAGCAGAGCCAAGATGAAAACAGATGCCCCCATCCACATAAAACATGGCTGATGGAAACACCTATCTCAGCTAATTTCAAACAATCAGAAATGAGCACAGGAGGAGAGCATATAGTGTTGACAACTGGGGTGAAAACCAGCATGGTCCAAGGGACAGAGTGCTAGACTTGACTATAGGACATCTGGGTTCAAACCCCTACTAAGTTGTGAACATCTATTTAGGCTACCTAGGGCAAGTCACAGCTACAGACTGGCGTAGTGGTTAAGTGCACGGACTCTAATCTGGGAGAACCAAGTTTGATTCCCCACTCCTCCACTTGCACCTGCTGGATGACCATGGGCAAACCATAGTTCTGGCACAGCTGTTCTTGAAAAAGAGTAGTTTCTGTCAGAGCTCTCTCAGTCCCACCTACCTCAGGATGTCTGTTGTGGGGAGGGGACGGGAAAGGACTTTGTAAGCCACTCTCAGACTCCTTTGAGTAGTGAAGGGCGGGGTATAAATCCAATCTCTTCTTATTATTATCAGTAAGAAACAAGTAGTGATCACATTTCTGAAGGTTAGTGAAATATGGATTTGAAAGCCCTCTGCTCACTAAGACTGGCACATTTTATTAATCAATTTATTGTAAGTGTTGCTATACATTCATTCATTCATTTTCCTAATCCTATTTAAGTATTGCAATTTCAATAAATGCTTCATTGAGTTCATTACACATATTACTGGTGCATTGTTATGGGCTGCAGGAATGAGAAACTGCAGAGGTTGGGTTTTTTTAAAATTCCCATTCATCCTGAAAATTCTGAGATTGAAAGAAATCAGCTCAGGTGTTTTCCAGAAATTTGCCACCTGGAGAGAGCTTGGGGCATCCTGTTTTCAACTTTTTGACTGTGTCTGTAATTTCTATAGAAAGGGAAGGGGGGTATTTTAAAATCTTACAACAGTAGCATAGCAAATTATGAGACATATGGACAGTCACTCCATCAAGCATTTATACGTTATGCAAGCTGCTGGCAGAGTTACCACTGGCATCATCTATTGTGTATAGGAAGAATGCCAATCTAATGTGTGATCTACATATGTAGCAGAATAAGGTTGCAAACTTCTGAGGTGGTAGAACAGACTGTCCAAACTGTAGGTGGGATAGCATTTTTTTTAATGACAAGAATGCAGTTTTAAAAGTAATGCAAATGGAGACCAGTACAGCCAGGGGTAAACTGGATTAGAATACCTCTCTGCTGTCGGCTTTAATAAATTATTAAATATCTGAAATTTAAATGAGTTTCCAAAAATGATACCTCCCACCACCACTTATTCTGAAGTGGAATGATCCATTCTTTCACCTCAAGAGAATACCAGTTCCCTTTACTTCTTGTGTAGACCAGGCCCAAGGAAGATTCTGTCCTGATCAAACGGTAGTCTGTCCATCAACCCTCAACTCACAACAGTTCTGAGCATTTCCAGAACCAACCTTGAGAAACCTTGTTTGCACATGCTCACTGAAGCCATGCAGTCAGTTATTAAAAACCTGGAAAACATCAGGATCTAAAAATCGGTTAGACAAATGCATGTGCCAATAGTGTGCCCTCCTCATAAGAAGCTAATATATGTACCACATCTGGAGTAATGGCTGCAGTTAGCTGTAAATCAATGTGTTTAATAGCTCCATGGAGCAATGGAAACACACTTTTCTTTGGAAAAAATAACTGTACTGATGGAAAAGTTGATTAAAATCAATTATTTTAAGATGAGGTTTCTTGCTTGGTGATTGAAATTGATCCACCTTCCTCAAATAAATGAGAATGAACACAGAGTGGCTAGCACCAGACGTGGACCCAATATAAATACTTAGTAACCCTTCCTCTAGCCCACTGTCACAAACCCAGGAAGCATACATTAAACTACCTTATACCAAGTCAGATTACGGGCCCACTTAAGCTCAGCACTGCTTGCCACTGTGACTGTAAACAGCTATCCAGGACATCAAGCAGAAAGAGGTCTTTCCACAGCATCTACAACCCAAGTTTCGTGAAGAGGAGATGCCAGGAATTGAACCTGGGACCTTCACTAGGCTCTACCCCTGAACCCTGGCATGTCAATAACAAAGTTTCTATGGCAAGTATCTGTGATGCCCCCCAGTGGATGAACAGGAATACTCTAACTTAAACAACAGATAAAATGTGAGAGTCCTTATCAGCACAAGAAGCAGTGTTTTAATCATGCACTTCAAACTACCCCTTTCCATTTCCCAACAGTATTTACCCCCCCCAACACTTACAAGCCCTTCACTTCAGCCACAGCCTCTTGCCGTGAAAGCTGAACTTTTCTGACATCCTCACGCCGCACGCTGTGGAACCTACGACGTGCCAGCTCTTCTTCAGTCAGACGGACACGGCATGTCTCCTGTAGGTAGCCTAGCATGGCAGGCACAGATATCAGGAGGGCACACAGCCCGTACCAAGCAGCTGATATGAAAGGAGATTGTTGTTATTAGGTGACCTAGTCAACAGTCAGCCACAGCACTACCACACCTCAAACCACCATCTACTTGCCAATCACACTATACCTTTACCTGCTCTCAGTTTACCCCGATGAAATCACTCGGCTGCCCACCTGGCCCAATCTCCCATGACATACCTCATTTCTATTTTTTTTCAGGGTTTTTTGCATTTGTGGGTGTATGTCCATGCCTGAAAGTCATGGCGACCTGTGGTGACTCCTACTGGGGCATGGAGGACGTTCAGAGAAGCGGCTTGATAGCCTGCCTCTGCCTCCTGATCCTGGTATTCTTTGGAGGTCTCCCATCCAAATACTTGCCAGAGTCAGCCCTGTTTAGCTTCCGAGATCTGACAAGATCAGGCTTGTCTGGGCTATCCAGGTTCAGGTGACATACCTCATTTCTGAAAGATAAATCACTCAGGTCCCCAGCCCACTCTTCTCACCTTCACTCAAAGTCAGCAGCAGAAAGTTGAGGCCCAGGCAGGTGAGAAGGGAGCAGACAGGCATCTGCCAGCTGTAACACAGGTAAGATTAAGCATTTTGTTGGTACCCAGTGAAATAGTTCAGCTGCATGAAGAGGAGACTGATGGGAGATGGAAAGGAAGAAGGGTAGTAATTTACAAACGTACAGAGGGACTGAAACGAAAAGGACATCAAGTTTAAGAAGAATGGGGACTAAAGCCCTAGCCATATCTTGCATTGAGTGCCCATGTATCAGGGATCTTTTAGCAAGCTACAAAGCTAGCAGCAGGTCTTTCTTAAACCCAACCATTCAGAGTGCTGAATATAGTAATATTTAACATCCCTTGGCACAGGACATAGCATACAACTTCTGAAATGAATACAAGGTCAAAAGGATAGTTTTCTCTCCTCCTCCCACAAGCAAAAGTGGTACTTGCAGAAAATTCAACTTCTCTGTCCTCATAATGAGAATATGCAAGAAACATTTCCTCAAGCCCACCCCCTTAAGGTATCACTGACACCCACCTGAGGAGGAACCACATCCCTTCAGCAATATCCTGCAGCGGCTCCAGGTACAGCTCAAGCCGCTTGTAGGACACCACTAAACTGAAGAGGTCCAATGAAGGGGGCTTGGGAGATGAGGGGGGAACAGGCTGGGGATCAGATGTTGTTGGGCTATCCAGCCCATTCCCTGTGGTGGTCCCGCCTTCACGCTCTGACACCTGCATACTATAGATGGAAAGGTCAGTCAGTGCCAAAACAACAAACCCCAAACAGTCCTACAAACAGCCCATGAAGAGAGCACCCTCTGAAGGCATCCACACGAGCCCAGCAATCCCAGTAACGCCATACGAAGAGGCTAAGGCTACCTTCACTACCACCCAGCAGGTCATGAAAAAGTGGAGATGTCTTGACTAAGTTTAATTGCTACCCTTCCGGGACTCCAGAACCTTTAAGGCAGAGTGCCAAAGCACAAATCCATTTGTGTTCCAGGTGCTGCAAGACAGTGGAAAGACAATGACCTTCTGCTTCACACTTCAGAAGGGTGCAAGCAAAGCTATCAAATAGGGGGTGGACAATGTTGACCTTAGTCTCATGCCACATACACGAAATCACATCCTTCCATTCCATACTAACTAGCTTGGAATAATCATAAAGATATAGAACTTCTGCACTGCCTTTTTATCTATGCCCTTTAACTTCAGCAAGTCACAGGCAAAGAGATCCTCCTACACAGGAGAAGTGGGGTGATCTTCTAAGGCATAAAGACAGGAAACTTAGTTACTACAGAAAACCCCACTACTATCGACCCCTTTCTCCAAAACAGATCAAACCAGCAACAAACGGGAGATGCTCTGACCTGCTTGTTCAGTGTGCAAAGAGCCAAAAATCACCCTTTGTAGACTCAGACAGAGGCTCTGCCAGCCCCCCCCCCCCCCCCCAGGGATTCCTCCGGCTTTAACAGGTAAGTTTAACAGGTAAGTTGCAGAAATTCAGCAGGTAAAATTCTCCCCATCATTTCGTCTCCAGGAAGACCCACCCGCCAAGATTCTGCGTGGCATGTAGTTACTAAAGGCACAGAAGCCCTTGCTGGGAGGAGACGACCGCCTAGATCCTACACAGCCTCACGTACAGGGATCCAGAGGAATAAGCTCCACCCTGCCTACGACAGGCATCGATGCCCAACGGAAAGGGAAGCGCAAGCACGCTAGCTCCCCCGGGCCCGATCCGCAGCTACCGCAACCCCAAATATGGGGAAAGGGCGGAGCCTCCCCACTGCCCGACCTCACCCCCTTGTTCCAAGTCGCCTCCGCCACCGCCACTTCCTGGGGAGAAAGACCCGGCTGTGCCGGAGCTCAACTGCGCAGCACCCGTTTTGCGGGAAGCGACGATCCGGCTCTTCCCATCTGATGCGGCCAGCCAATCAAGAGCACAAGGAAGCCGTTCTGCTCCCTGAAAAGCTCCGCCTCCTGAGTTACTAAAGAGCCGGAATGTCTTGATCCTATACGAAGCTGTAGTCTAGCAATTCTCCGGCCTAATTTATTTGACCCTGAAGTCGCGCTCTGTTTTAACAGTGTTGGGTACTGGATCTAAGCACGAGGAGAGAAATCAGTTAGATTCCGATCTCCCCCCCCCCCCTTCCCAACACCATCCTAGCCAGTCGTGTTCGGGAACGCCTTGTGCTCAACCTACTAGGGGCAAGAGGAGGGTTCCCCGGTACCACAGTAACATCGACTGGTGGATTTGGGGGTCCCAGTGAGATCCGCACGCTCCAGCAAAGTACAGAAGAGCGCATCCTTAGCAGGTACGCTGAAATCTGAAGGATGCTGTGTTCAGGATTGTGGCACATGAACGGAAGTGTAGGAGCCCAGCCCGAGTAGCCTTCGACAGAGGCTATTCGAGACTAGCATTTCTAGGGGGCAGATTATAGCAGAATTGTGTTGAGAGCACAAGGGATACCCTGTTGGGTCGCACTTGTAGTCCATCTAGTCTAGCATGCTGTTTCACAGAGTGGCCAGCAGATTGCCCGAGGGCCAACAAACAGGCACAGAAGCCAACACCTTTACCTGACGTTGCCTCCTCCTAGTATCCATATTCAGAGGATTATTGCCTCTGGATGTGAAAGTTTCCTTTAATTTGTGGTTGCCACTGATGGACCGCTGTTCAATGAATCTGTCTAATCCCTTTTTGAAGCACCCATGTTTGTGGTCATCCTTACTTTAACTGGCAGTGAATTCCACCATTTTGTCATTCCTTGAGTGAAAAAGTACTTTCTCTGCAAGCAAAAATGAACAGAAATTGAACATTCACTCTTTGTGTGTGTGTGCCTGCATGCGCGCCCATGCCTGGAAATCATGGTAACCTTTGGCAGTTCCTACTGGGGTATGGAGAACATTCAGAGAAGTGGCTTGATAGCCTGCCTCTGCCTCCCAGCCCTGGTATTCTTTGGAGGTCCCTCATCCAAATACTTGCCAGGGTCAGCCCTGCTTAGCTTCCGACTCTGAGATCTGCAAGATTGCGCTAGCCTGGGCTATTCAGGTCAGCCACCCTGAGCCACAAACAAACATTGACTCTTAATTGGTATGGGGCAGTTTCCAGCCTGCTATAGAAATCCTGCAGGAGTAAGTGCTTACAGTGATGGAGGAAAGTGCTGTCAAGTCACAACATAGTAACCCCTGGATGACCTGGATGGTGTCTCATCAAGGTGCTAACCCATGGCCGACCCTGCTTAGCTCCTGAGATTTGCTGCGATCAGGCTATCCTGGGCCATCCTCATCAGCAGAGTCAGTACTTATGGCACCTTTCACCATAAAGAAAGCTGCCATTTAAACATTTTGAAAATGCATCCCCTTTATCATACAAAATGGGCAGCCCTTCAAAATAAATAATAAATCAGTGTGGACAAAAGAAGGAAAGGCTTAGTCTTCCTTCATGTTGTAATGATGTACAATTACAGTGGCCAAATATGCATTTGGGCACTGACATTTAGGAAGACCTGGTCCAACCTGCAAGTCCATTGCTATGAAAGACTCTGTTTGTGACATTCAGAAATGAAGGGATGGCACTGTCCAAAGGGATAGTTATCAAGGTTCCACCATCCTAAATTCCTCAAGGGTAGTGTTAGTTTGTTTCTGCCAAAACAACAAGGAGCCATAAAGATTAACAAATGTATTTTTGATTCAATGCCTGCTTCGGCAGATTCATGAAGGTACCCTAAACTAAGACAAATAGGAAGAAACGTAAACACAAACAGAACTTTGAAATAAAAATAACCCACCACTGACGGAAAAGCACCTGAAACTATACACGGAAAAAAAACCTGCCTCACTCGAGCAATGGTTTTTATATTCGGAGGCTGGCCTCCCAAATAGATGGCTTGGTCCCGGTTTTGCAGCGTCTCCGGATTTTGTATGCACCGCCTCTGAGTCCTTCCAGCGTCGCTCTATTTCCGATTTTGAGCTAGACATTTGTAGGCCTAAACTCGGTTTTGTGATCACATGTAATAAGTGCGAGAACAGGACGCAGGATTCAGCATTCCAGGAATCTCCGGAGCAGGGGGGGGGGGCATGTATGCGCATTGTAAAGGCAAGCGCTTTGTTTGCTTAGCCTGGAAAACGAAAAAAGCAAGCATGAGTAATACAGGGTGAGATCTCAGAGACCACAAGCTAGAAACGGGAATAAGTAGGACGTTCTGCGGTCAGAGGGTGGCGCTTTCAAGGCTTCCTTCCCCCCACCCCCGCCCCGCAGGAAAGCAACTGAACACTTAAAGGAGGTTCATACGCTGTTAATTTTGTTCCACTTAAACTGCCCATCGTAGTTCTTTAGGAGGGCTATTTTAACGTACATTTCTAGTGTAGATACTCCGTTTTTGTGACAACTCGACTGCTGAAGTGCTCTTTCTTTTCCAAGGGCACGTTTACACAAGCTGGACAGAAACGCGACCAGAGCGCTGAGTTGGTAGAATGGACTGCACCACTGCAGACTCTGGGGGGAGAATTCATGCTCTGGTGGTTTCTTTGCATTAAAGCTACTTGCAAGTAGATAAATAGCGCAGTAGGGAGAAACCGTCTACCTCCATCTCTTTGTTCTCTGTTCTGGCTTTCCAGTGGCTGGAAATTTAAAATAAGGAGGACATTCCAAAATGTAATCCTGCATGGATTTATACCTGCACTCTCATTCCTGTGTCCCATCTGGTTCTCCTGATTGTGTGAACCAGGCCAAGATCTGGTAATCAGAAGCGGGGGTGGGGGGGTGGGGATGATACTTGTTAGATCGCGCTAACAAAGGACTCGTAGAGTGATTCAGCAAGTGATTCAGCTTTATTTAGAAGTAACGAACAAGCACTAACTCAGTAAGAAACCAGAACAGAAAACAGTGGGAGCTTATGCTCCTTTTAAACATAACCGGGCTAATGTAGCCACGCCTATTTACAAATAACAACCAATGAGATTGCTAGAATAAAGACCAATGGGAGTCTTTCCCTCCTAGGGAATGGTACCGTTCTGATTGGTCGCTGTTACGAAGCGACCAATAGGAAGTTCGCTCAGAGGAGCCCTGGTCTGGCTCGAAGCTTAACACGGGAGTCCTATGAGGTGATTCATGTAATCATTTCAATACATTACAATTCCTCCCCCCTAAGTTAAGCCATCATCCCAATTGTTTTATTATTTACAAACATGCAATCAACCTTTGTACATCAGTTATTCCAACAGTATTTACACTCATAGTCCTTCAGATAAGTCGGCATTTGCCGCGAACGCTGGGACCTGCGGAGCGGTGCAGGCTCCACGGGCAGACAAGGTTGTGGGTCAGAGTGGGGTTCACTACAGCCTGGATCAGGCACAGACTCGACTGGGATTTCAGCCCCGCACACAGGGTTCTGCCCTGACTCGGGGACAGTACCGGGCCTTTCGGTACTCACCGCCTGCTCTGGGGGTGTCCACTCGACATCAGGGGATTCAGCCGTCGGAGAGTCAGCGCTGTCCCTAGCCCAACGTCTCCTTAACTGATCTATGTGGCGCCGCCATATTCGACCGTCAGCTAACTGCACCACATACATTCGAGTACCCACAGAGTCGGATATAACCCCAGGAAGCCACAAGTGCCCGTTTGCATAATTTCGTGCGAAAACCTTGTCCCCTTTTTCAAACATGCGCACCTTCGGTTGCGCAGTGGTACGCTCGGACTGATCTTCTGTGAGGTCTGGGTGCATTCGGTTCAAACGGGTCGTGAGTCTCCGCCCCATTAACAATTCGGCCGGACTACGGCCTGTAGCACTACAGGGGGTGGTGTGCTGCAGCAAAAGAAAGGAGCCCAGCCTCTGGCTCCAGTCCCCTTCGTCCATTTTACCCAGGGCCTCTTTGGCCGTCCTGACCATCCGTTCGGCTTGGCCATTAGATGCCGGATGGAAAGGGGCCGAAGTCATTTGGCGTATGCCATTACTCGTGAGGAAGAGCCTAAATTCCTCAGACACAAATTGAGGCCCGTTGTCACTGACGATGACGTCAGGCAACCCGTGGGTGGCAAAAAGTCGGCGGAGCGCATGGATCACAGCAAGTGATGTGGTCGATTTCATATGCACGACCTCCAGCCATTTGGACATAGCGTCCACCACAATTAGGAACATTTGCCCTTGGAGAGGGCCAGCAAAATCTATATGCAATCTGGCCCAGGGTTTACCAGATGACTCCCAGCCTTGGGGTGTAGCTTGTGGGGGATCGGGTCTGACTTGCTGGCATTTGGGACACCCTCGTACCCATTCTTCGATCTCTTTGTCCAGCCCCGGCCACCAGACATACCCTCTGGCCAACGCTTTGGTGTGTACCATACCGGGGTGACCCTCGTGCAGCGACTCTAACACTCTCGTCCTGAGTTTGTCAGGAACCACCACCCTGTTCCCCCATAATACACAGCCCTTAGAAATGGATAGTTCATTTTGACGGCTTTTGTAAGGGCCGAACTCCGGTTCAACGCTTCCAACCGGCCACCCCCTCCAAACCCAGTTTAATACTCGGGACAGCACGCTATCCTTGGCCGTGTGTGCTGCAATGTCCCTGGATGATACCGGGGGTCGAGGAAGCTCCTCAATTGCCAAGACCTCACAGGCGGGGGCAGGGTCTGCGCCAATGTCCGGCACCGGGCACCGGCTGAGGGCATCCGCATGCCCAATCGCTTTCCCAGGCCGGTGCTCTAAGTCAAAATCATAAGCCTGCAAAAATATCGCCCATCTAAGCATGC